ATACAACAAAAATCTCACTCCCAGGAAAGCTACACCCACCATCAGTGTTTACTCTGTGAAATCGAAAGCAGGGGTGGAGATAGGATGGGTGATTCCCCCTTCAAAAGGGAAACTGGAGCTGTGTTTACTTTGGGAAATGAAGTCTGGTGAGCAACTCTTCAGAGCAGATGATTGTGCCACCTTGTGGCTTTGCTTAGTACTAAGCTCTGAAGTATTTATGAATATTTTAACATGGACGTCTCCCCATAAATGTCAGATGTGGCCAGGAGGACTAGGACAGTGATTGCCCCCCTGTATTGGGCACTGGGGAAGCTACATATAATTTGACAGGTTCCAAAATCCAGAAGTGGTTAAAAATGTGAGGGTAGAACATGCCACTCCAATTAAAATAAATAAATAAATTTGAAAACACTAACCCACCTTCAAAATATACTGTAATTTAAAGTGTTTTAAACAACCTCAAATGACACACAACATATGAAGTGAAAATTACTTTTAAAATGACAGTCATTTATTTTTTCTCTAGCCAGAGAAATAGGAAGAAAAATATTCTACTCCTTTGATATCTGCCTTCTCCTTTTTTTTTTTTTTTTTTTTTTTTTTTTTTTTTTTTTTTGTGAGCAAGCTGAAAAGCCATTCTGTGCTTCTTCAGGTCTTTCTTCCCCAACCTTAAATGCACTCATGGCAATGAAATCCAATCTTCTGTTGTAAGACTGAGAAGATTTTGATCCCTACACCTGCTACTGCCTTTACCAGGCCTAACCTCTGAGAAGTACTTCTGGAACAAGACTGAAGATGGGATTCTAAATGTTTCCTTGTTGGCTGCATCTCTAAAAATCCAGCAAGATCTTGAAATAAACTAGACTCTTCAAGTGCTCAATTCACAAAAAAACCTACCCTCACTTCTAGGCGGAAACAAGATAACAACTTATAAAGTGAGACAAAATACAGTATCTTTCACAAGGCCCAGGGCAGGAGGCACATATTACTCAATCTCTTTCCTGATTTTTCAGGTCTGGTCCTCCAAGCAATTTCGCAAGTAAAGACAAGTGGGTTCCTTCAATTCAGCGTTCAGTTGAAGTGTGCTGCTTCATCCTCTACAGATACAGCAGTCAGCTTTCTACATTTTAGATTCTCAAACTTGGAACTTCTCTGAACCCTGTTTAATCCTTCCTGAGTTTGCTCACACACAGCATTCATCCCCCAGGTAACACTGTTCCCCAGGAACTGGGAGTAACAAACAGGTCCCCTAACTTTAGACTTCAGTGTTTCATGGATATAGCAGCCAAAACTGCAGAGGGAAGGGGTAAGAATGAGGAATAAAATCCATGAAATACTCACATATCTGCCAGGCCTGTAAGGGGTAAGCTTAATAATCAGGTTGAGAAATATAAAACACCTGGGCTTCAGTTTATTGGTGGCTCCTGTAGCATATCAGGCACTAACAAGAAGGAATGGGAACTGAATGGGAAGGGAGCCTTTTTCCGTCACTTCTGAGAAGAAAGGATTTCTTTTCCAATCAGGGAAAAGTGTGGCAGGCAGAGGGAAGCCTTCCACCACTGGGTTTCAACATCTCGGGCTTGGCGAGCATTGTGCATGTAAATCACCCCCTCTTTGTCCACATTTTTAAACTTTTGTTACACTATTTTTACAGTGTTGGTGGTGAATTGGAAAGTACCGTTCCTAAACTATGACAGCACCTCAGCTCACGAGCTCCCTGCTACCTGAGTATTTCTGTCTAGTCTGGATCCAGGGAATCCAGTGTTGCTCCCAGCACCTGGGCTTTTGGTACAACCACCTACAACAGGAAAGAAGCTAAGGATATCAACCCTTCCAAACGCTGCAGGCTATGTATAGCATTGGAATTGACAAACCTTTGAAGCCTGATGCCCAAATTCTATTCTCATTTTTAATGACTGCCTATTTACAATGACCACAGTAAAATGAGCATAAGCTCTAAATCTGTATCCTTACAACCTGGAAGGAATTCAGATAGCTATGAGAGAAATTGTCTAAGAATTAAGTCCTAATTAATCCTGTAACAATAGCCTGGTAAACCAAATTGAAATACAATGGAAAGTATTGTCACTGTTCTCATGAGTCTTTCTTATACCCTTCTAGGTCATGCAAAGTTCAGTAACAAATATCGTTCCCCATGTAATAGATTGTCAAAGCTGTTGCTAGACCTTAAATCAGACTTATTGCCAAAGTAGCTTTGCCTTTGGGAAACTGTAACAAAAGGCATTAACCCCAATTAGGGCAAGCATAGATCCTGTCTTTACAGTCTGTCCAGAATATATGTAAACTGTTGACATTTTTCTATTCCAAAAGCCACTCCAGCTTCAGGCCTATTTACTATTCATGTTAATTACAGACAAGAGACTAGTCTCTAATTGCAAGAGAAAATTCAAGACCTTATCCTGCCCTTGCCATGCCTCTTCCAGCTGTTGTGTTCTGTGAAGAATCCATCAAAACCTAAAGTGGCCAGACTCAAGTAAATTGCTTATCCTAATCTTCACTGCAGCTGTGATCTTAGCCAGCTGATCTGGCAATACTCCTTGCAGTTACGATCCTCACTTCATTTCTTCAATATACTCAGAATCCAGCAATTAGCCTGGCTCATCAAGCCTCCATTTCTCAGATGCTACCTTTGTCTCCAGTCTTAATTATAGCCAAGTGCCTTTTTGTGATGCCTAAAACCACAACAGCATTGGCTCCTCTGCACACCAACCCTCTTTCTACCTGTGCTTTCTGAGCACAGCAAGCACCTGCCCTCCTCAGTGGAAGGCTGTGTGCAGCTCTGTGCTGTCAGCAGGGATGTGGGCAGCCTGCTGCAGAAACCACACAGCATGCACTGCCTTCCCTCCACCCTGCTCTCCACAGCACCACCATTCCCTAGCCATTCACTCAAAGGACAACCTGCATTAAACCCCTCAGAGCACAGGTGGGTGAAAAACAACCAAATTTGTCCTAAAAAGCATTAGTTTCACATGAACTCCTCCTCATAAGTGTACAGGGCTTTTTGGCAGGGTGTGGGCACAGTTAGCTCAGCGTGCTGGGTCTGCCTGGCATGGAGCTCGTGTTCCCGGGTCAGCTCTCATGGCGCTGTGCTTTGCCTTGTTGGTAACACCCCAAGTGGTGATTTGGCTGCTCCTGAGCAGTGCTCCCACAGCACCAGTGCTGTCTCTCCAGCAGTAACACCTCACCAGTAGGTTGGGGGGTGGGCAGGATCTTGGGAGGGGACATCTCCCACACTGACCAAAGGGATATATTCCATGTGACACGATGTCTGCTCAGCAATAAAAGCTAGGAGAAAGGAGGAGAAAGGAAGGGCATTAATAGCTTATTTATGATGTTTGTCTTGTGGAGCAACCACCATGTGTATGGAAGCTTGGAGGCTGGCATAAAGCATGGCATGAGATCCATGGAGCTGAATTGTTTAGGACCAGGCTGTTCTTGAGTGCAGCTGTGAGCCACCCATGCTGTGGCAGAATGCATTGCAACCACTTTAGCCACTTCCTAGCACATCCACAGTTATTCACTTCAACCCTCAGCAATGCTGCACAAAATCAGCCGAACACTTTGCTCTGCCCCGCCACAGACAGTAACAGCTGGGGCAATTTTGTAAAAGATCAGCACCAGTGGATTTGGAATTATGCACCCTTCCCTGTGACCACAGGTTCAGCCCTGGGAATGTATTCAGATTCTGTTCAAACAAATGATGTACCAGAGCTTAAGAAATCTGTAAGCTGTGGGAAGGTAAGGCTACAAAGATCCATCCAGACAGGTGAGCAAGCTTTTCTGGAGCAAAAAGAAAATACTGTGTCCTCTGGTTTCAAGAAACGTCTGGAATTAAGGCACTGGAGAGTCAGAATGGTAGGTATGCTGTGCAGAAATCTGTATTATTGTGTATATCTGACACTTCCCTGCAACCAGCCAGTGTCAGACAGGGTCCATCCAAGAGGACCTTGTGCATCTTACAGGAGAGAAAGCCTAGCTACAGCCAGGAGTTCCAGAAAGATGAGTAGGGGTATTATGCTTCATGCCATATGAAATCCTAAAAATCTTTCTGTACTTCTGGGTAATTTGGTTCAACTTTTCTAACACAATAGGATGATGGAAGGCCTGTTCCAGGCTGAGCAGAGCACCAGAAGCTCACATTTGTCATTTTCCTTCAAGCTCGAAATCCATCCTATCCAGTGATGGCATAAATCACTAGGTGTAGGCAGTCATCATATGGTTGCTCCAGGCTCCATTTATATTAAGCATTATTAGCAAGGATAATGTAACTAAGAGGAAAAATCCTTTGACATTTTCTGGTTCAGTATAATGCAAAGTCTGGACTTTGTAGGAAACAAGCAGTTCTCTGAAAGTGTATGCTCTATTTTTTCTCTAGCCTGGAAAAATCAGAAGAAACAGAACTGAACTTGACCACAAATGCTGATGACTGCTCAGGAACACTTCAGTCTGAGTCCCATCTAACCAGCACACAGGAGAAAGGGTATCTCCACTAAAAGTCATTTCGACTTCTAGGTTAAATCTCACTAATCTGAGACCACCAATATTGACTGTACAACTCAAGACTAAACTAGACTCAATGGAACTAGTTTTCAAGTATGTTCACCATAAAAAAAAAAAAAAGAAGTTATTATTTTAGAAGTTTACTTTGACATCCTACAGCATCCATTTAAAAGATACAATTAAAAAAGAAATACAGATCAGATCTGGCCTAGTCAGAACAATTGAGATTGTTCCTATATAGTGTAACAATTTTTGTAAGGTCATGATGCTGACAAACTTGTGGTAAGTTCTGCAGCTAACAACTCTAATTCTAAAGATGATTTACTTTCCAGCTCTCACTGTTGTTGTACATTTTAAAATTAAAACCAAGGAGACAGCACTATCCTGATCTTAAATAGTCTCTAAAAAAGTTGTGATACTGGCTGGTGTCTCTACTGCAGGTGATGAAACAGCTTTGCTCATAAAATGGCTGCTAAGCATTTCTTTTTTAAAGCATTTATTATAAAACAAAATCCACATAATCTATAGTACAAAAGCAGAGTCTGTTATCTGTACAAATATTTATACAAAATACCAGTTACTTCAAACAAGCCTTTGGTTTTGTTAACATAAAGAAACATTGCAGTTTCATGACCAGAAAATTGTTAACCATTGTTAAAATGGTCTGAAGTGATGACAGCCTCAAACATTTTTTTACAACAGTATTACCAAGTCATTTGTGTGTTAGAAGGCCATGCTTGGAAAAATAATTGATACAGACTTTCTGTAACACAATAAAGATTTTATGACGCTAATGAAAATTGTGACATGCTGAAAACAGCATTAATTTAATCCCCAAACATGTAAATGCTATGTATTTTTGACAGATATTGGGATGTCTGTTGAAATAGATATGAATATATAAATCAAAGTTAACTTGAAAGAATGCATTTGAGAGGAACTCCAATATATTACAAATTCAAAACATGCATGCTCTAAAAAACCCTCCAAAATGGTAAGCTTACAGTTAGTTCCACAACTTGTGGCTGTATGTATTTTAACTGAAGAGAATCCTAAAAATAATACAAAGCTTTGTTAAAACCAGAGGAGTACAATGAACATTTTTCCCCCCAGTTTATATGTTAATCTGTTTAAAATACACAAGGCACTGAAGTATTAGGTTTGGTTGTCTGTTGAGGTAACAAATGCTACAAAATGATACACATATAAAGCTGTAATTATTAGGCTGTTTGCAGAATACACAATTTAATATAAATATAAAAAGATTACGTGTGGGTTATATAAAAATTCTTGGTACTCTTTGTATATTCCTGTACATTTACAATAGCAGCAATTGCGATACAAGTAGGTGAGTAGGGAAGCTGTCTGGGTTAGAGTTGTGTTTATGATACCCCCAAATTTCACACAGCTGTCCTCCCGCTTCCAACACTTTGTTTTACCTCCACAGGCTGATGAAGTCCATGTACAGCTATTTACAGGCTGCAGGATCTCCGTACAAACCAAAGGGGAACGTGGCTCCCTTTGCCAAGCAGCCAGCCCAGGAACGCTGTCACCAGAGCGGCCTCATTATTTACAGGAAGGTGCATCAGTGGGAGCACTCGCTTTTCAGAGGTGTCAGTGGCGCTGAATTAGTCTGTCACTGGAACTGTCAAACCTGTTTTTCTCCTCTGACAAGTCCTTCTCTAAGCACACTCTCTGCATGTGTTTTGTCGATACAAACCCACCCGTTTAGGAGTTGTCATTATAATCTTCTATCCACCAGGATTCTGTGTTGGCTGGTGAGACCTAGCCCAGAGGTGGGCTGCAACAAGGGCTGTGGTTCATGCTGGGAACAGCCAGGATGTTGCAGCTTGTCACAGGTGTTTGGGAGCACTGTCAGCATGTCATGGCATGGCATTTTGAAGGATTTTGTTGTGGAATGCAGAAGACATATCAGACTGGTTTCCATCATTCCTATCAGCAGGCTTAACATTTAATTTTTCCTTTTTTTTTTTTTTTTTTACTTACAGGGAGTATGAGTCTATGTGAAAAAGCCCACAGCATAGCTGACCAACCTCAAAATAAACAAATGAAAGAAAATCACCCATTAGAAAATCTAAAGTTCTCAGGAAGGAGAGGCAGAAGACCTAACAGGATTGAAAATATCTATGCCTATTAAATATTTCTTTTAATGTGTAGTAAATACCTCAAGCTGTTTAGCTAAACTTACAACTTCCGTGGAAAGGCAGTTTTATATACAGCAATGAACAGAAAATGTTGCAGTACCTAAGGGAACAGCAGCAGAAACAGCAGACACCTCTCAGAGTGTAGGGTTCAGCCTTCCTTGAACCTCTTATTGACAAGGCAAATTTACAAGGAGGATTCTACTTATAATTCATAACTGAGTCACAACACATAACAACCACCAAATGACTGAGCTGTACACAGTTATCTTTGTGGCTTGTCTAAGGCTCTGTCCAAGCATGGACCTTTATAAAATATTCCTCAGCACTGTAACAGCAAATATACTGCTTTCAATTCAGGGCTCTCTGCCAGCATGGAGTGCATGTTATTAATTATTTGGAACATGTTTGCCTTCTGTTTTCATTTCCTGACATTAATGGATATAATTTGTAGTACAATTGTAAGCAGTTACTCATTTGGACTGACTCAACATAAACCCCAACAAAATTACAGAAGAGATCTGCTTCCAAAAATTCTTGAGGCCAACAGGACACACAACTTTTGTGATGTTTAACTGAGCACACTTGTGAATTAGCACAACATGCTGGAGAGGCTCTGAGGAAGGGCAGCACAAGAGCCCTCCCCAGCAAAGGGATCTGACCCTGCAGGCCACAGAGGAGTGACATCAGCCCAGTGAGACCAGCTCTTACTTGAATGCTCCTCCTTCCAAACCCTTTTCCACTGCTGTGCACAAAGCATCAGAATGTCAAAAGTTCCAGAATCCAAAGGCACCAGTTGGCATAAAAATGGTGAGAACATCATGAGCCCTGGACCTTGCACATGACTTTCTAGATACCAGGTGGAAAACAGATCTAGGGTAAACAAGCCTGGAGATTTCCAGAAAACCCATCCTAGGTCTATAAAACAGGTATTGAGGCAACAGACCATTTTGTTGTTACTTTGAAAAGAATCAGAACTTGTAGGTTCTGATTAGTGCCTGTACCTTTGCAAAGCACAGAAATTAAGGCTTATTACTGAAAATCAATGCCATTATTGCAAAATAATTTTGTTTCCCACTCATTTCTGCCTTCCTCTTTAGAATATGTTGATAATGGCATAATCACATTTTTAGACACAGAGCATTTTTTACTATAACACTATCCTGAAGAAATTATTATTTGTCATACCTACAGTGCTCTCTAGTGATCTGTCCAGACAAAAGAAATCTGAGTAAGAAATCTAAGGCAGCTGGGATAGAGCTCATAAAGTTTCCTCAGACTCAACTGGAACAAATTCACTACCCCTATTTATTAAAATTTAAAGATGCAGTGGCTATAGTCTAGTCTAGCTCAAGTCAAGTTATAATTTGCACAAACTGTTCCTTGAAATGAAGGAATCCTTGGCTATCAATGATTACTTGTCTATTTACCTTACAGCCTCACACTGCTGCTCCACCTGCCCTGCAGGACAGGGAAGCTGCTCTCTGCTGGGCCATCTGTCCTTTAAATCTAACACAGAATCAGCCATCTCATTTGCCCATTACTGGCTGCTCTCCAGACACCATTCCTTGTTACACCCTGAGTTGTTTCAAGTGCTAATATGCAGTCACAATGGGCCTGGACAATAGTGGTTGAAAACACTGATTCAAGTACTCACTAGCTCACACAGGTAGCTGAATCACATGTATCCCTCTGCAGATTATTAGGGTAGAAGTCCTAAAATGTCTCAGTCAGCTTTCTCACAGAAAACTTCTCAGTTATTAAAATCATGCTTAAGCCTCACCAAAACGCAACTTTCCCTCACACATTTCCTATTCATCCCTGAACTACCAGAATTTCTCATATGCACTCTCTAATTCCTTGCAAGTCCTTCTCTGATCCTTATCCAGAAGAAAATAGCACCTATTTTTTATATTTTAGCCTGAAAATTCACAGGATGGAAACCACTGAGAACACAGTGCGGATATTCCGGAAAGAAGTAATTTCTGTTGCTCAGATTTTCTTCCTGGTCTTTTCTAACACCACGAGTGAAGTAATCCTTTTAAAGTATACAGTCTACAACAATCAAAAATGATATTTAGCATTTAAATGTTAAGATGCTAAATTTGTATACAGTCTTTTTTTTGGAAAAGGCTTTTAATGTCAGTAATATAGAGCGGTGTGGAGCTTTGATTTTCACCACCAAACTTCAAGTGCCTCAGCGAAGGCAATTCCTCAGCAAACATCAACAGCAAGAGTTTATGAATGTTCAACTGAAATAAAAATGTACATTTAATTCACCCAATTCACCAAACGCTTCCTTCCTTTTTAAAACCTAAGCTCCAAAAGAATGTGACTCTTAAGATAGTTCAATTCTCAGTAAAAATGCCAATTTTCTTGGATTCAATTCCAATGTTTCTAATAGGATACAAATCTTCAGATGGAGTGGTCAGGATTCTTATAGTTATGGCTCTTAAAAAAGATCAGTGGTTTAATGAAAAAAAATTAAATAATTATTCATCCAGTGTCATCACAGGAATACAGAAAAATCAATGTGGTATATCTCTAAGTTAGAACTGTGACATGAAATAACTAATGAATTCCTTATAAATAGTGAATAATTATCAAGCAGAAAATGATGTATGATATGAAATTGGACTACCAACTGCAGTAATGCAGAACAAATACTCTTTTATGCAATTCATTTAGCACATAAAATATCCTGTGGATGTATATTCTAATTTAGTTAATTGAAACATGATCACATGAGAATTGCTTTTTTTCACCAAACCACCAGTTTAGAGACTGGCTAAGTCACTCCAAGAGTAACAAGCTGTGACCTTGCCCATGCCAGCATAATACAAAATTGCTAATGTTGACAGAAGAAGAGGAAAGAACCCAATCTTCAACTCCATTTCTGTACTCTTCTCTATGAAAAATCATCCTCTTTGTGCCTTATTTCTCAAGTAAAAATATAGACATGAAGGTAGTAAAAGCTACTTTAGGAGTTTTAGTAACATGTCAAAATGCTATCTTTGAACTATGCAGACAGGAAGAACAGATCTGAAAACACAAAGTGGATCAGAACACTGTGGTCCCAGCCCTTCCACCACCACAAGAAAGACCTCTCGCCTGGAGTTGTAGGGTTTTCTCTGATGTGCTCTCAAATAACTTGCTTAAAAGACCCAAAGCCTAGTACAATTTTAGTTCAAACAAGAAAAAAAAGTTCATTGTTGCCATCAATATTAAAGCAGTTGAAGGCCCAACACATCTGTTACTGAGCAGCTGCAGAAACAGGTGCAAGTTTGCATATTCAGAACTTCCCTCAGATGTCCCAAGCAGGCACTCACATTATCATCACCAGTGCTGATTTATAAAGTGCCATACAATACCCAATCCCTTTTGCTACAGAGAAAGAGCAATTAAAGCAAAAATTTGTCTTCTGAATTTGAAAGGGGCTGATTCTAGCTCCCCCATTCCCTAATATTTTTTTTTTTTTGTAGGAATGGGAACAAGCACTTTGTTGATCTTGATGTCCTGAGGTTACAGCAGTTTGTACAAGTTAATAATTTTCATATCAACATGAATAGAAAAAAAGTATTTGTCTTTTCTCCCTCATCTGTACTTCTTTTCTACCTATTTCTAAATCTGAATCATGTGACAAATTTTTATGATACGTCTAAACTGATTTTTGATTTGAGCTATGCGGATACCATTTTTCTACAAACACCAGTTAAAACCCAAACAACTTTCCTCATTTGAATACAAACGACCATTTTGTTCCACTTTGGAAAATGAATATTAAGAGATGAAGCAATTCTCTGATCAAGTCAACATGGGTGAACACTTCAGAAACCTGGTACAGTGATTACAGGACTTTTGAGAAAAAGAAAACTAGCACTGTGTTTTAAGAAGCAGCTGACTATTACTGCTTCTTCCCAGACACTGACTAAAGCTTTGCAAGGAAGATGAATGATCATGGTTGCATCACTATCAAAATGGTGAGTCTGACCCAATCTGCAGTTTGTTGGGCATTTCTCTTAGCTTAAATACCACTTCAAACTTGACCCTTGCTGTCATGCAAGGTCAGTACAACTGCAGTACAACTGCTTCTGCTACCATTCACCCAGTCAGGTGGGAAACTGGTTGGGCCTAAACCAAGTTTTTTAGAACTGATCTTATTTGCCCTGAATCAGTTACAGAATTGGCCACGTGCAGAGTGCCACTGCCATGAGGTAGGACATGATGCCTGTGGGTTTAGTTAACCTGGAAGGTTTGGCTAAGAGAAGTGTTCTTTCAGTTCAATGCTAAGCAGATGGAGAGGGAGGTTTGAAATTCAGGTCTTGGCACTCAAGTTCTGCTGGGAAGCATTCAGCTCACTTGCAAACAGGAGCATCTAAGGGTTGTGATCATGTATGTTTTCTTCCAGTGGTGGGGCAGGGATGATACTGACAATTGTATTTAAAATGCTTTTTTTTTCCTCTAGGAATAAGCCTGCATCTTTCTTTAGATGACCCCCCCCCCCACCCCCACAAGCCACTTCTTTTTCTTGTCTCATTAACAAAAATAACTACATACACTTTTTGCATGTAAAAAGGTGACTTAAAAATGTAGAAAGTTTCAACATTCCCTCCCCGAATCCATTAGCGACTGAGTCAGTTCCATGACTTCAAAAAGGCAAATATGGCACAAAAGAATGGAAATTAAGTTAAAAAAATCGATTTTATAAATATTCTTCCTCTGTACAATTTTTCACAGCCCCACCTCTCCCACCCATTTTTATTCACATTTAGTTTTGTTTAATTCCCACCCAGATTTATTTTTAAATCATAAAATATATATTTTTTAAATCTGTTCATATTTTAAAATATTTACAGGAAAAGTTCCTTCTGTTGAGGTCATGAAGAGTCTGTACAAGGAGAGGGTGGAGGGGGGTAGAGGTGAAAATAGCTTCGTTCCGTGGCAGGAGATGGAGGGCAGCTTTCTTCTGCCGACATGTACTGACTGCGAGGTGTGGGTGGAGGGGGATAAGGGTCTGAGTCTGAATTTAAATCTATATAGTATTTGTTGGCCTTCCATCGACTCGTGGTATAGTCACTGTCACAGACATCTGTGCTGCATGGGGTTGTGGGCGGAGCTATCCCTCGTATAAGGTATGGCCTGCACAAAACCAAAAAAGAACAAAGCACATGCATTAGTTGCAATCTGGGGAGAAAAGAAGGAAAAAATAAAGAGATTGAACAGCTCAGTGTGCTCTGTCAAGACGCCTGCTCATTAACACGACGTGAGCCTTAATTCACACTCTCACAGAAATCCAACAAGAAGTACCTGAACTGTGTCAATTTTGAATGGCACAACTACCCTCAGCCAGCAGTACATTCTTCCAGCCCCTAACCTAACAGAGGAGACCACTACGACCATTTATCCCAGTCACTAACAAATAGGCTTAGTCATGAAAGAGTTTTAAGATGGAAAGAGCAGAAAACACCAACCTTTATACAGGATGCTCAGGGACTGTTACATAGCAATATAATGTACATAATTTGAATGGTCATTTATTAAGAGAGGAAGAGATTTTTAAATGAAGTCTGAACAAGATCTAGAATTAAGGCAGATAAATAGAAGATTTAGCAAACCTTTTTATCTGAACTGTACCTGTAAGATCTTGTGTTTGAAGGAATGTTTGAGGAATAAAACATCTCTGCATTGTATAAGGAGCGATCGGTAGCTGGGGAAGGAGGAGGGTTCAAAATCTAGAAACAACAGAAATGTGAAATTTTGGGTTAATTATGCACTTTTTCTTAGATTGAAAATAGCATTTATGCCTTCATCCTGTCATTCATCCTTATTCTAGTTTGCTTTCCTAGCTGCTTGGATGTGTTAATGCATTTTTAAAGATCACAGATATTCATTACAAGACTTTACTTTGGACTTAGATACTGTGCAGACCTTCAAAGTTCTCAGCACAGGGAATTTTCTTCCTTGTCACATCTGTTATTATGCTGGAAGGCTGGAATAAAGCTGGAAATGAGACCCAGTTTGGCTGAATCTGAGTGCACTTCCTTGGACATAAGGACTGACAGCATCCTCAGCAGATGCTATTGGAAATAAAGTATGTTCCCCCCCCAGACCCTAAACATGTTCCCAATCAATAGTAGGGTCAGGAACCCAAGTTCCTTTACTATAACTAATAAAACCCCATCCTTCCCTGAATGCTTAATTTTTACTCTTGTTCTGTAAACATATCATTTTGGCAGAGTTCACAATGCAAAAAGCCTATGAGCTAAAAAATACTTATAGCCTGCCTATATGTGCATATAGACAGCATACACACACATGGCTCAGCTGTGAGTGCTTACACATGGCTACTGGTAGCCTTCACACAAGGAAAAAGTTTAGCAGGCTTCAAAATTATTTAGGATTCTTCCACCATCAGAAAGCATTCTATCTCTTCCAGTGTGGAAAATGACACCATTGCTGTTGATTGAGCCTTGCTACTCATGTGCACATCTTGTACACTGCCTGCCCTGGGCATTTGGCTAACTCATGGCCTGCCCCATTGACCATCCTTCCTTTGCCTCTGCTCTTCTCCCACAGAAACACTCTAAAATCACTGCAGTGTAGATCATTGTTTGGGTTGGCACTGTGCAGCAGCCAGCAAAGTAATTCCTGACCTTTGAGTTGAGCTCACTGTCACTTATACTGACAATCCCTGCACCCAGATTCACGTGAAGGGAGACGAGCTTGAATACCCCCTCTTTGCCAGCTGTGGGGAGTGATGAGTGACTGCCCCAAGAGGATCTTTCAGAAATCTTCTTCCTTGGAGATGCACTGCATGCTGCTTGTGGATTCACTCCTATTGACACCCTGAGCTGCATCAGTACCACTTCATGTTGAGACTAAATACTGCAAACAGTGTCAGCCAGGATGCCTGTAGCCAGGTTCTCAGGTATATAAACTGGCATAACTTCATTGACACTGATTCTTTCCTAGTCTTTATTCACTGGAGCACCTCTCAGTACCACTAAGATGTGTTAAACAAACAAAAAAAGCCAAGAAAACGAAGATGCTCAGATCTGTCCTTTTGATTATTATCATAAAGCTGGGTAATTAGCTACCAGGCAGAACTCACCAAAACATTTTGATTAAGCAGTACCTTAATGTAACAAAGCCCTTGCAATAGCTTCCCTCTAAGAACCCAGCATGCCTTTCATGAAGGAAATGCTGGTATCAACCCTGCAGGCCCTGGCTGACATAGCAAAGTGTGGAAAAAGAAATCCCAGCAACTGTCAGATTAGCTTAGGCCAGAAGTCAAATGGAAGAGTTGATCTTTTGGCCAACACAGATCCCATAGAATCACACAGGCAGATCAGCACTTGTGCTTCTTTTCTCTTTCAAGCTTTATTTAAGTTAGTGTTTTTTCTGTTCATCCTTTTTAGCGTGGTACTGACACATCAACCAGGTGGAGCATGAAATTGTTCAAAACATTACGGAGACACCGGTGATGCATGAGACAAGCTAAATTAGAAGGGCTGCTGAGTTCCTGAACATCTGCTTCTTGATGGCTTCACAATGCAAAAGGTAAGTACGTATTTTACCTTACCAACAGATAAGCTCACAAGCCTCTCTTTTCCATTTTTGCCCTTCTTAAAGGGAGAAAAAATACCTTTGTAACTGGCCAAAATGTTATCAATCAAAATGCCCACACAGAGCATAACAGCTTACATGTAAACACAAATGCATGTATACCCACACAATGTGTGGGCTCCTGATTCAATACTACACAAAAATCCTCTCCATAGCTGGCAGATCAACTCTGGCAGCTTGTTGTGTGTGCCTAAAAGCAAATGGATATATTGCTCAGAAGCACAATGGAAAAAAACTGTCGTGACAAAATATATTAGCAAACAGGAACCTTTGTATGCCTCTTGTACGTATTCAGAGAGGACTCTTTCCGTTCAGAATATACATGTTGGAATTTGTGAAACTGTGATATGGAGATGAGAATTCAGTCACTTCCAACACTCAAAAGTCAGAAATGCAGCTAAATTATGGCTGAAAAAATGCAAGCAAAGTAACCTCTGCTTCACTCTGCTGCACCAGTGTTTTCCCTCAGTGCATGCACTTGGTTTTCTGAATCAACAATCGATGCTTGATCTAAACAGCAAGTCAAGCTTATTTCATGCACATTTGTATTACAGTCCCCTTTCATTTTGCTTGCCTTATTATTCCATGTGTGCCTGCAGCATTAGGCAGTGCAAAATGTCACTGGGCCACAGCCATCAGAGCTAACGAAGAACAAAGGAGGTGACATCTCCAAGGGAAGAACAGAAGTATCCAGGAACAAACCATCTGAGTAGCACTCTGATAACAAAACATTTCGGACATCACAGAGCACTGTATAATCCTGATCAACTACAACAAAGCCCTTTTGTGAAGTTCAGCAGTGCCAAAATGGGCCTGCATATCATAAACAGTAACACCCAAGAGTTGTTAACAGTTGTTAACATTTACTTTGTGCTTACTAAGTTTCACCTTTCCTTTCTCCAGAAGCAGGAAATACTTAACTCACTGGTGTATTTCCAAGACATACCTGTGGATAGAAAGTGGCTTTAGTGCTGGATGAGCTGCTTGAAGATGCTCCAGTAACATGGTTTCTGTCATACAATGGGGCACCACTGCTTCCTCCCATGAGACTCATGGAGCTGATCATGGACTTTCCACAAGAGATGCCTGCATTGAAACAGAGAGGAAAACAAGGGTAGACAAACCACAGTGTTATCTGTCAATGCCAAACAGAAACCAAATCCCTAGCTTTGCAAACCTGTGCAATCATAATGGTTGTCACACCCTGGGAAGTGTGCTTTAAGTAAAAACTTCAGGATTACATGGAAGGACACTTTTTGTAAAGAAAACATTTCACCCTCAGACCAGCTATTGTTTCACTGCAGCACTGAACTCACAACGTACTATCACACTGCTGAGAAAGGAATCTTCAGAACAGCTGATCCAAACTAAAGAAGAAATTTTCCAATTAAACAAACTTAGGCAGTTGCAAAAAAAAAACCGAAAAAACAACCCCAACCAAAAAAAAAAAAAAAAAGGCAAAAAAACCCCAACAAAAATAACCCCAAGGCCTAAAAGAAAAAAACTTGAGACCTCCAAGGTTTGAATTTCCATTGCAAGAAATTCAATTGCAAGTAAGTGCATAACTGCAAAACTCAAATATTTTTATTAAAAATAATCACAGCTGAAATTGAAAATCAGCAGAGACAAAAAGAAAGGAAACCTGAGTTAGAGGAAAATGGATGATACCATTCTCCAATCTGTTTTGCTACAATATACTCTTATCTCAGACAATTAATTTTCAGCTTCTTCCTGTCAAAGCATTCAGTGCTATTGTAAGAGTTAAGTCTGGGAAGTTTTCAGAACTTTTCTTTTCAAATGCAGGAAATATTTATTACAAGCAGAGTAAGTATTTATAATCATCATGCATGATTATATATCCTTCTCATAAGTGCCATGGTATTAGAAACCTGTCTTTTCTTTAGAATTAACATAAATAATAAGATTTTCAGCTGTTGTAACTTGTTACAACAACATGGATTAGAGAACGCTAACAAATATGGATGAGAATCAGAATGACAGCTTGGTTTAACACCTACAGAAGTACAGATGAAAACCACTGATACTTGCTTTAATTAAAAAATTTTTAGTGTGAAGTCCAGTTTAAAACATGCCTGTGAAGATTTCACCTACAATTATTTCATCCTTTAATTTTATTTCCTACCACAAAAAATCTTGATAACCATAGTAGCATAATTTAAGCAGGAATAGCTGACCACAGCCATTAAAGTGCAAGAAAAGCGAATAGATTTTACATATTTGATTCAAATGACAGATTCATCCCAGAACCACCAAACAGACCAACATCTAATTTCTGCTCTTTGAAAACTCCACATCCAGCAACCTTAATCATGTGTAAAACTCAAAATGCAGGCAATGGAATGGTACAGATTAGATGCAAGCACCCTTACCAGTAAAAGTGCCATGCTGAGAGCTTCCTGGAGCGATGAAATTGAGAGGGACGTGGGGGGTACCACTGACATACTCATGTGGGAAGGGACTGTTGGGCCCGGCGTAGCGCTGGCACACCACCCGCTGGCAAACAAAGTACATTCCTCCCATGACGAAAAGGGACAGTATGATCCCAATGACGGGACCGATGGCGCTGCTGTGCGGCTGCGACTCGTCTGAGGCTGGCTTCGATTTTTCTGGAGGAAGAGAAGAAAATGAACCATGGTCATTAAACATGGAGCAGGGTACATGCTGCTGTCCTGGAGCTCATTCAGCAAATCAGCCAGCACACAGCGCCTTTAAAAGCATCTGCATCACACTCGGGCATCTGTAACTCCAGATATTCCGATTCACTACACAAGACTTCACGCTTCCTCTTCCCCTCCATAAAGCAGTAAGAACAAAGTACTCTTCTTTTTATCTAGCATTTTGTCTTGTAACAGGATTACTTGTCTTCATACAACAACAGTCTAGAAAGTTTCTTTTCTTCCCTGCCCTCCAAAGTCAATGGCTCAAAGACAGAGGATACTGATAAATATTAAGTCCTTAATCAGAGAAGACTGCTCTCTCAAAAGCCATTTGGACTAGCAATAACATGAAAAGTCAAGAAAATTTATCAGTAGGGAAGCTACCATATATACTAAGCAATGGATGCCTTCCTAGATAATACAGGTCTTAAAACAGAATACTTTTCCTTCCTAAAATATGACTTGCTTTCAAAGAAACCCCACCTTACAAAGTGGAAGGAAAACACAATTCAAAATATCTCAAATATTTTCTTTATTCATTATTTTCCCCCTTATGTAGCCAAATGTTAAATAATAAAAAGTGCTGCAGTATTTGAGATGAGCTACATCTCACATCTCTCCCTGATTATGGGTAACACATTCAAAATTCTTGCCAGATAAACCTGACACCTCTCTGTTTTTCACATAGGCAATGGTCTTCAGGGAAGGCAATTTTTCCATGTGATTCATATGTATATTAACCAGGAAACTGGGGGAACTGGATGAAAGCTAAAGAGATAAACAGAAGGTGTGGGAGAAGCATGTTCAGTCTAAAGGTTCCAACAGTTTCTGTCTCCATTCTTTTAGCCTTTTTTTCTATTTACAACTAGGTCTCCTTTACCATTTCTACTCATGATACACTTCTCCTTGCAGTATCCACCATGAAGATGGAAGGAAGAAACAAGGCTACCGGTCCAAACCTGGCAAACCCTCTTCTCATCCCAGCAGAGGCACAGCTTCTGACAACCGGTGCTTCAAAACATGACAAGATCTAAGATATTAAAAACTTCACAATCTGCTAAGGCTGCTCCTATAGGCAATGTAAGTGCAGCATTTCTCTACACAAACCCAGTGCAAGCTATTTGTGAACTACATTAATGAACTACAGACCAGCACATCTATTTGCTTTTATTCTAAAATGCTTTGTGTTTCAACTATTTTGCTAAACCACTTATGTGATTCTAAATGCTCCCTCCATCTGCCTTATTGCCTGAATACTTCATGCTCTAGTCACCCCAAAACAAAACAACAGAAATTGTAAGAGCAGCAAAAGTAAGTGAATTTTGCAGTCTACTTTGGACTGCAAAGTAACAGACTCTCTAAGGACTAACACAACAGCTGCCATCAGCATGTCTGTAACTTGCATATGCCTACTGCCATGAGACTTCAAAGTCACATTTTACCCAGAAAAATCAACATCTCTCCATATATTGTTTTCACATCTGCACTGTAAGAGACCAGTTTGTGGTCTCTTGTGGACACTTGCTCATTGCATGTTAGCTCCTCCACATAATTAGCCTCCACTCTGGCCCTGTTACTGCAGTGGATAGGGCTGCACATTTTTAAAAGCCACTCCAGGCTTAGCAGCAGCTCTGCAAGTTCTAAGGTACTGAGCACAGTCAAATCAGGTTTCCCTAAGGACAGCTCTGAAGGCCCTTCTGAAGCATTCTTCCCTGAAAGAATATTGCTCTGCAAAGACCACGGCTCTGCGTGGGGGTGCAGAACATGCCCCAACACAGCACCTGAATGTCAAGAAAAGCCATCTCACCACACATGAGCTCGTCAGAGCCGTCCATGCAATCTGGAAAGGAGTCACACTGCTGCTTCAGGAGGATGCACTGCCCACTCGCACATCGGAACTGGTTGGGCAGGCAAATTGCTGCACAGAAAGAAAGGGAAAATCAACTATTGACATCACAGAAGCATTCGAGCCTTTTGAGAAAACTGAAACAAGTCAGTTTCATATCATGATCAGGTAGGTGTCAGAACACTGCTGTGGGTAAATTGCAAACCTGTGTATCTCTGTTATTCCCCCTTGCTATTATACCTCTAACTTAGTGGAGCTAAAATAAAATTCTGGTCCCAGTAACTCCCAATCCTTTCTCAAATCAGTCCTGCTGGGTCAAAACCAAGATCAAATCAGCAAGAATCTCTTACATTAACCTAACAAAGTGTAGCTGATCACCTGACATGTTAACAAAATGTAGTACTGTGGCATATTATAAAACCTTATGTACTCCATACCTATATTGTGTATACGTAATATATATATTATGTATAATATATCCTTGGTAAGTAACTGCAGGATTTCTTATCTGTATTCAGGAACCTCTGACTTAACAAAAAGGACTTTTATCTATACATTTCAAGAACAGTTAGAATCCCAAAGGGATGCTCGTGTTAGAACCATGAGTTCGGGAAAACTGATCTTACTATCACAATCTGCTTCATCAGATTTATCTTGACAGTCGATTTCTCCATTACACCGCAAGTGTGCATCAATGCACTGTCCCTTCTCACACTGGAACTGGGATGCAGAGCATATGGGGCAACTATCTTCATCACTCTGGTCATCACACTCAGGAAACCCATCACACCTCCATGCCATTGGGATACAGTCAATCTCTCCAGTTGCACATGTAAACTGGTCTGGGGAACAAGTTGGAGGTTCTGGAGAAAGAGAAAACAGATCAGATTTATATACTCAACCTTATCCCTTTCAACGGAGTAAAAACATGACAGAGTTTGTCAAGAAAAGCATTTATTCTTTCCCAGGAGTTCTTCTCTGACTACACTAAGATTCCAGTGTAGAGGAAAACATGATTTTGCAGAGGGAATTAAATTTTACCAACTTCATTACAAAAACTGGATGCATGGTGATAGAAGTTTGCTTTAGCAGTCAAGCACTGTACTAAGTACAGGAGCCACAAATACTTGCTTTGTCTCTAACAGCCACATTTTGGAAGATACTGTCATATACATAAATTCAAAAGAATACTCAATTTCTGATTGCAAACCAGATTCTAAACAATTCTAATCCCTGCAATTATATTAGCCTGGACCAATTTTTCATTAAAAAACCTGATACATCAAGTTAATTTGCAATACATCCAAACACATCTAAAACATACAACATGTAGCTTCTACAGTATCTGTTTTGTTATTATCCCAGTGGTTTTTCCACAAAAAAAAATTCTGAGTCAGTTATGAATGGAAAAATATGAATGGAGAAAAAAAAATCTTTATAGCACTGGTAAACAGGAAGCTAAGGTCTCTTGCTGGAAAGTGTCCGGGCTGCAGGTCAGTGAATATTCAGAGAGCAGTGTAAGGATCACTACATACCTGCCCTAATCTTATAGTCTCTCACTACAGACACAGACCACTTTAACTTGTGCACAGCCATTTTTATGTTTGTTGGACCTAAAAAAGCTGGGATTTCCTTCACGTTTGACTTTTCATGGACCCCAAGACTCTGGTATCACTCATTTTCACATCCATACTGTTGTTCCAAGTTGCAGTGAGGCACTGATAGAATTAGGCAGCAGCTACAACCCATATAGAGAATTATGCTCTTATAAGGCATCTATAGTTGCTTTCTTTAGAATGTCAGGAGACAAAACCAATCCAGGTCAAGAATCTTTTGCAAAAAATGCTCCAAATTCTTACATACAACAAGTTAGCACACATTTCTCCATCATTATTATCAATGAAAGAAACAGACAATGGGCATATCCACTCAGTTGTTATCATTAGCAATTAGTTACAGTCAAAAAGTGGGGGCCATCTCAAAACACCCCTGCAGCAATCACATACATTTCCACTGATTTGAAAAGTTGCTGGGTCAAAACGCTATGACATAATGACATCATTTAGCAGAGGCAGCCACTCCTCCCCACAGCTGCTGTTGCCCAGTAATGCTGAGTAGATATTCACCACTTGGATTGAGAGAGAACCACATCATACCCTACCTATAGCAATAGTATGACCAAGCTAGAAGTGTGCTCTGGCACTGCATGGTAACACTCCTCTGGAAGCCCAGAGATTCTTGAGATTCAGGCTCAGGAATAGACTTCACGAAGAACCCAGCATAAGTAAAGTTTCTTAGCTGTATGAGTATTTTTTCTCCTGAGGGTGGTGCTAAAAATTCTAGAATTACATGCAAACAGTTTTTAACATGCTGCTGTCCTTTGTTCATTTAGGGAGAAAAAGCTGAAGAATGAAACAAAAGGACAATCAAGAGTTTGAAAAGCAAAATGTGAATCAAAATCAAAATGTGCTTGGGTCTTGAAAAAATTATGATTTTTTTAAGTTCCTCATTTATGATTATTTGGAGGAGCAATATGAGAATTATAAATGTAGTCAGTGACCTGACAGCTGTAGATAAGATAAAGATGCCAGACACACACATTAAGGTGAATTATATTTTGATACAAGCATGCTGTTTGGATAATTCAACAGACAGATCACTGCTTCTGCATTTAAAGGCACATTTAATGTTGCACTGTGGTTGCACTTAGCAAGAACAAGTTTGCATTAAAAAACTTGACAAAAGCATTCATAAGGATGTCCAGAACATGGACAAATGTTCTACAGCCAACTAAGTTATATTGAAACACTGGGTAGTGGCTGTTACTATAACAGACAAGACGAGTTAAAAAGTTGTTGCAGGCTTAGTGAAAGATTAGAATAAAAAAGAAAAAGACACTGAAATAGAGGCCCCTGAATTTTTAGATTTATAGCTGAAGATCCAAAGGAGTGGAATGTGAGACTCTCTCACTGTCCATGTTGTGCAACAACACTACAGCAAGAAGTATAATTAGATTGATCCACCCTGCCCTCCCCATGTAACCACCACTACTCTAAAGCCACATAACGTGTTGTGGTCATGGGAAAGAAAACAGTTTATCATGGAAATGACTGTCCCATGGGAGTTCAGAGTTCAGCCAGAAAATGAAATCCACAGCAAAATAAATACATGAGAAGAAGTCAAGAGGACCAATAGAGCCAAACAACTTAAGATATAATGCCTTCCAAAAAGAAACAATGCTTTGTTTTTAATTCCCTCTGCAAGTGTAATGTTAACAGTTTTAAAAAATGCTAGGACGGTAAAAAGGAAGGCTAAAGGAAAAGTCTACCATGTGGAAAGAGGATAGGTACCTTAATTAAAAAGAATCTCAATAGAGCTTACATTTGAGAAGTAGCCAGTACAGTGTTTCACATTACAAGGCCAAATTAATTTCAAAGACTTGAGTGTCATACTCTGGGAATCATAGGCACAATTTCTGCTGCTAGGTCATCACAGGTTGATGCAAGATCATCTTATAAACACTTGTTAAAAGCACAAATCTGTCACATCATACAATTAAAAAAAAATCTCAGTAGAAGATACAAGCATTTTAAGGTCAAAGAAAAATATTCTGCTCAGAATGAGAACTCACATGTGCCCAAAACCTCAAGCAGAAAACAGCTGGTAGAACTACCAAAGACTAATTTTAATACACGATGCAGCACAATGTGTACAGAAAAACTGTGTGTAAATCCACTTTTTGGATTGGAATGCAACCTCAGCCACCACATTTTTGATATAAATTGATTAGCAGTGCTGTTAAATGTAACTCACCTCCACATGTTAAGAGATTCTGTAGAAGCACAAGGTGCTCAGGGCATGAACATCTTGGAGTTCCATCCCCTTTGGCAATGCAGATGTGTGAACAACCACCATTGTCACGGGAGCATGGATGCACAGCTGGTGAAACACACAAAAATAATATTATGTAGCATAAAAGAATTTATAGCTATTCCTCAATAGGACAAAATCAAAAACTACTCACAAACCACTTCTGTCTGAATAACCAATATTTCACTACAAATCATTAGGAAGACACATTCAGGATTTTTCAGTTCAGTGCTTGAAAGGTGATTTATTACTTCATAAGGACTATATTTCTCCCAGTCATAATAGAGCAACCTGATCAAGTTGAAGATATCCCAGCCCATTGCAGGACATTGGAACTGGATGACCTTCAAAAGGTCTCTCCCAACCCAAACTATTCTATGATTCTATCATATAGAGAACTTCCTTTCTCCTTTTAAGAACTTCAAAAAGGAATTTGGGAGCTGAGGTAAAGGGAATTGAAAAGGCAGATTTGAGAAGGCTGCATTTACGTCTTACCTAGATTTCTAGGGTAGGCATCAAGAAACAATGTATGTCACTGCACAATGCCAACCTGCAAAACCTTCAGGATTTGTCCTTGAAAGAGCTCTTAGTATCTAATGCCTCAGCTTCCCTGTTCCTCACAAAACTGCAAATATAGGCACGAAGATTTTGGGGTCGTTGTTTAAAGACAGGAAGCTACGCATTTGTGTTCCCAATCAGTTACCCAGAAACACTGAGTGGTCATAAAAAAGCAAATTTTAGTGAACATTACGTGGATAAGAAACAGGCACAGAGATGGGAGGTCACTGTCTGATGACCCCAGCCCAAAGGAATCCGAAGAGAATCAGTCTCTTGCCTGCTTATTCAGGCTGGTAACTGAGCATCTGCTGCAGCAATCTGTGGGGCAACAGCCTGTGTTATTTGTGACGCTGCTGAGCAGTGCATTCTTTCCTACTGCTCAGGACCAAGAATTTACACGGGGAAAAAATTGTTCAGATATCATAATTTCTCTGCCAAAGTTGTTTTCCAACTGTCCAGGCTTCTTAGCAACCTGCTTTCTACCTTTCACAAATTTATTAGTTCATACAGTGTTTCAGGCATGAGCTGCTCACAGAAGTGCATGCATATATACCTGCATGTACATATGTATATTTACTCCCCTGTTGCAACAGAAATCACCTATGTAGAAATTTTTCAGCTGCAAAAGAGGATTCCTTTTCCCTGTCTTAAATAAACACATGGGGGAAAAGCAAACCTCTTTTTTTTAACATTGTTGAGAATTAAAGAAAAAAAAATCTTTTTCTTCAGTCAGTATTATCTTTGAAATATACCAATATATGTGAAACGTGTGAAGTGGCATAGAAGAAGAAGAGCTGGGTATTGTGAAAGTAAAAAAGAACCTCTAGGTCATGATTACCCCACAGAATCTACTACAGTTTAAATGCTTATGTTACCTGATTTGTAACAGCTTACCCATATACACAAGTTCAAAAATACTTCCAGCCATCACAGACACTAATGTATGCGACTCAGTGTTTGTTGTGAAGTCGAATATTTTTTTCTGAAAATTAATGCATTATATACCAATGTACCCTCCCTATATAAGACAACTCATCAGAGGCAACAGAGACCACTGTTTCCCAAATTTTGTTTGCAATTTTATTGCAAAGTCTCTTTACAATCCTGTTAAATAGGAGGAGCTGTAGGTTGTCACTTTGAGGAATGACTGCTTGAAGATGTTTCTACACTCTCTAACAAACCACAGTAATTTGGACCACTAATCCAGAAAAAGAACATCCTGAATGCATAACCCCTTTCAGATGTGAGCACCTAAAATGTTCCACCTCTGTTGGGAGAAAAATTCCCCATCCACAGTACAACTCATTGTAGGAGCTTCCTCCCCATTTTGCCTCCCTCACTGCAGACTTTTACATCATCCTCTGTGCTGAGTCAAACCACACATACCTAGCACCTAGAGAAGCACCTAGGGAAAAGGCAAGTACAACCCTTTTGGTTCTTATTAGAGTTTTTCCAAGACCTATTACTTGATTGTACTTAGAAAATTAACAACCAGAATTTTAAATAGCTTTTAGACTGAATTCAGTGTCATGTGAGCTTGCACAAAGCAGGTAACTCAGTGCCACAATATCACATGTTCTAGCTGTGCAGCAATAGTTCCCTCAATAAGAAGGAGAAATTTGTTTCTCCTCCTCTCCGCAACCCCGACTGGTCAAGTTGAAAGCATTCCATGGCTCATTTGAAGCCCATGGGCAACATTATTAAAATATCCAGCTGGATAAGGACTTCGAGATACAATGCCCAAGACATCAGATACTGAAACTTACAGAATTCTTCCATATCAAGCTCTTCCACAGCATGAATGCCCGTTAGGTGAGCAATCCTGCCTTGAATTCTAGTCCTTTTGTAGCCATTCACTTTCTCCACTCTCTCAATCATCTGCTGCTGACGATCAATCCAATACAGGTGATTCCCCAGCACAGTGAGTCCCATGGGCTGAAGAATGTTGGAGTCCTCCAGGGTCACACGGTTGGCACCTGAGACCAACAAAAACAAAGACTAGTTTTACACCAGTCAACTTCTAAGTTATTCCTTAAAAAAAAATCACAAAACAACATCCCAGCTAAAACTAAACCAAACCTTGGAGACAGCGAGCTACAAGGTCATTGACTTCATCTGCCTCTGCTTGTTCAGTCTCAGGTAAACACTACCAGTGCCTGTCTCTGTCTGTGTCTGGAGGGCAAGCAGATACAACAGGAAACCCAGCTCACCCCTGCACAGCCTGGCTGGTCAGCCAGCCATGCTCAGCCCCACGCTGACATCTCTGTTATGCGAGCGCTCCCAAAAGCTGGTACACACTCAGCTCTTGGGCCAAAGGTTTTACAGTGCACTCACACATGAAGCAGTACATTTTTTATGGAATATATAAACAAGAGCGAAACACAACCAGTTTAGTTTCACTGTCATTACTCAAAGAAAACATATTCATCCTGCAAAGCAAGAGGCAAGTACCAAACCTTATCACAGCCCATGTGACTACCACAGATATATGATCAAAAAAAGAAAAGCACCTAAAAAAACTCCAACTTTTTTTATTAGTAACCAACCAGAAAACCCAAATTTTAAATGACTCAATATGCTCCTAAATAGGAACACTGTCAAATGCTCAGGCTCTCTGCTTTATGAAAAAATGTGTAAAAATCTGCTTTAAGCCAAGGAGTAAAAAGAGGTCAAGTAAAAATGCATTTATTATGTTTTCACTTTAATTACTTGCATCTTCTTATGCAGTCTTTCACTGCATACTGCCCTACACTTAGAGTCATTTAGTTATTGCTTTTACTATTCTTTTCTAGGGTGAAGATATTCCAAATTATTCTATTAATTCACCAAAACCATTCAGACCCTGTGCATGCCTATGTAACTGGATATATTTGGTTGAAAAAATGAAAATTTAAAGCAAAATCATAACTTGGAGCTGCTTCTACTCTCATAATTAATTTTGGAACTATGACCTTATGTCTGCTTGTATATAAAAAAATGTAAGTTTTTAGTATCTACACAAAACGAGATTATAGAATCCACATAATAAAAAATGCTATGAGAACTGTATTCAAGTAATTTTCTGCATAAATTATGCAGATCTCAGCCAAGCATGAGCAGGTTCTATTAGTTTTGCTGCTAGAACAGCTCCAGAGGAGGGTCATGAAGATGACCAGCGGGCTGGAGCACCTCCCCTATGAGAACAAGCTGAGAGAGTTGGGATTTTTCAGCCTGGAGAAGAGAAGGCTCTGGGAAGACCTTAAAGGAGCCATGCATCACACTTAAAGGGAGTTTATAAAAAAGAGGGAGAGCAGCTTTTTGTATGGGCAGATAGTGATAGGACAAGGGCGAATGGTTTTAAACTAAAGGAACTTAACAGACCAACTTTTGATCTAACTCCAGCTGAAAAATTCCAGAACCCTGTAAAGAAAACTGTTAGATGGGTTTATAGTTCTCTCATCCCTCTCTGAAAATTAAGCACTGGACATCTGAGGCTAATCCCTGATTTAGCAGAATGCTGTTTTAATCAGGGTACAGTGCAAACTTCAAGAACCTCCAAAACCGTGTCACCTCTGCAAGTCTACAATGGAATAATAAAGCTACTAACTACTAGAATATCTAGACCAGTTTAAGTGGAATGAAGGATGCTATACACAATTTTGGTCTCATTTATTCAGCAGCCTTAGTTTATGCTAAAAACCCTTTCCTAACATATGCCCATTTTGCTCAGAAAAGTATGTTCTCAAAAATATTTTTTCAAAAGTATTTTGCTCAAAAAATACTATTTAGAGGAAGTAATTCAAATCAACATTACTCTGGCTCTCACTTCTTCAGCACTACCCAATGCTTTTAAAAGTCAGCAATGAACTGTGCTCTCTAAGATCCATGAGGTGCTGTTGCTTTGTATATGGAGTAATGCTTTATATTACTAATGTGGGACAACTGTGATGAGTTGGCATCTCTCCACTGTGTTGCAGCAATGCTGTTTCAGTTGAGCTGTCTTATCACCCAGATTAAAAAAAATAAAAACAACATTGCCCTTTCTTCTGTTTGTTTTTTCCAAGCTACCTTGATTTACTAACTTTAAGCTCCAGAGAGAAAAATTGAAAAGTATGCAAACTTTTCAAACCACTAAGAAAAGAAAAGGGGCACAGGGGAGGTTATTTAGGGGTTCCATGACTAACAACGCTTTCAGAACACATCAAAAGTCAAATGGCACTCTTGGAGGATGTCAATCATTACAGTCATGTCTATTCTAATTACATCAAAGATGGGAGCCCACCAGCAATTGCTGTCTGTGACTGCCTACACAGAACTGGCAGCGATGGAGATGAAAGTCACCAGGGTCAGCATCAAAGAGGGAATGATGTCCTGCACATGCTAACACTGTGCTGCAAGTGTTTAACTTCATACCACATACCTGACAGGTCACAGCTTTCGATGCGCTTCAGATCTGCATCCACCCAGAAAAGCTTTCCAAGTTTGTTGTCAACCACCAGTGCTACCGGTCGGATCAAGCCAGTTGTAAAAAGCACTTCTCTCTCTGTGCCATCCAGGGCTGCACGCTCAATCTTGGGAGCTCTCTCCTGCATGTTGGTGAAGTACATGTACCTGAGAACAGAGACAGCATCACTGAACTGGAGCTCCAGGGACAGGCAATTCCCCTTTGTCTGCAGGGTCTTGTAACCCACCTTGTAAGTGGGAATGGTTTCACAAGCATGGCTGTGGCGACTGCTCCCAGGTGCAAAAATCCAGAACCAAACACCTGCTAACTGATACACTCAGCCTGAAATTAATGGGATTTATCTCCAGGCACTAAAGTGCCTCAGCAGTACTGCACCAGCAGTATTGCTCCTGCATGGAATTGGGGTTTGTAAGAGACTAGCACAGACCTTCTTCAGCTCTCCCTGGGTAAAGCTGTCCCCACTTACAAATCAAAGTCTAGAAGTTCTTTTTGACAAAAAAAAAAAACATTAACCACTACCTCCTCCCCTTCTAGGTAACTTTTCCTTCTCAGCAAGTAAAATTTCCTACCAAACTGGAGAAAAGATTACAGAACAACTGAGGATAGCATGTTCCTGACATCTTAGTTCCATGAATTCTTTATATCTGTCTAAGCCAGTTCAGTTGCAAACAAAAGCAGTCTCTGTCCTCCTCACACATAGAGAAAAAAGGGTTTGTGCACCCCCACGATGAACTGAGACCTCTTCAAACGAAAAGTCCACTATTTTTTCAGTGGTGAGTAACATGGGCAAACTCTCCAAGAGCATGGGCTGCATCGCTGCACAGCCTTTCCTTATGGCACAAGGAGGGGAGGCAGCAGTCAGAACATGCTCCCTCCACCGAGAGAGAGGTGAAGGAAGAAATTTCTATAATCACGGCAGAAGTCATTGAAGATCACTCATTCAGCTCTCCCAGATAGTCACAGTGTTTAACATACTATCTTCCTCATTTTTCCTCCTTTTATTTAGAAATGGATTTAGCGTTAAATCACTTGAAAACCTGACCAGTTAAGTTAAAGAGTTTTAGAGATCAACAAACCCAAACTCCCATTTTAATGGAGAAAGCAGATAAGCTTTTATAAATACAAACTATATCCAAGTGACTTAGTCCCAATACGATTAGAATCTTTCCTCTAATCTACCTCTCCCCACAACAGCTTTTGAACTGTGCGGAGTACACTGGTATAAAACACCAGTCCTATAAACACTCCAGACAGAGTCTCTGGGTACTACAGTATCCACACATTTGTGAAATAATGTCATTCAACATCTGTCAAGCACATGGTAAGCCATTTAGCAGTAAACTGGGATTTAAGCATCTAACTTACTCAAGAGAACAGTAAAGCACCATCCATCTTTGATCCATCTAAGAAGGAAGCTACCAGAAGCAGAGTGTCTGTGGAATCTAACCAAAGCTGTTTTGCAGGAAAACAACATATGTGCCTCCTGTGGGAAATCTCTAGTGCATCTGACCTGCTTCAATTCATTTCAGAAGTTTGTAAGATACACATTACATTAGAACTAACTTAAGAACATAAGAGGTTTAAGTGTTTAAGCTTTATACCACTACATTAGCAGGAATAATATCAAATTCAAGGCTCCTTTCTTTACCCCTGGAAACATTTGTTTTATGATGACTAAACATTTATGATCCAGATTCTGAGGTGATACAGACTCTCTTGTTTCTGTTATCAGGTGGCAGGGCTGTGCATCCACACAGAGAACAGTACAAGGTGGTTGTACTTTGCTGTCACCTGGTGCCTTACACACGGCTGTGAGAACAGAGGCAAAGGAGAGAACAGGAAGAGAAAGCTGGATACCTCCAGAACCCAGAACTGGATAAGGCATCACCTACACCCAGAACAACATTCAGAACTTCTCTTGGTACAAACAGACAGATGCAGCACAAGGTTTCCAGGCACAGAGCTGGCACAGCCCCAGGAGCGCTCTGTACAAGGTGCAGATGGAAGCTCACCCTCGCTCTGCGTTCACTACGATGGCTCTGGGCCTGTCGTGGTCCCCCCGCAGCACCATCCCGATGGACTCGCCGTTCAGCCGGTGCACATTGACGGAATTTGTGGCCTCGCAGGTCCAGTACAAGGTGTGGCTGTATATATCAATGCTGAGGTCGTGTGGCTGCTTCTCCGGGTTCTGGCTTTGGTTTGGGGTACTCATTACAGTGAAAGGCTGCAAGACAACACATTGGCAATGATTTCCAGCCATTGGTCTGATGATTGACTGAAGAACACTGATTGCACAGAAGGTGTGGTTTACCTGCCTGGTGATTTATAAACCCCTAAAACCACAATACTAAAAACATTCAGTAATTCTCATATAATAAATAGAATATCCATGAGTAAGTGCTGACAAGAGCAGGTGACAGTGATGATCCCTTGGTGTGGCAGATAGAAGAGCATAAAGGAAAAGCACACAAAAAGACCGAAAGAAAACTATATACAAGATGTACACTTGCCTGGGTGCCATCATCTTTGGCTCTTTTTATAATATTCTGGCGCCCATCCACCCAGTAGATCAATTTATCTAAGGGATCATAATCAATAGCCTTGACGTTCCTCAGACCATGCATAGGTAGGATGATATCTGGGCTCTGCTGATCATCAGGTATCATCCTGCTGATGGCAGATTTCTGGCTAAATAGCAGGAAACTGGCCGGGGCTGAAACAAGCCAAAATAGAATGCATGAGAAAGTACAATTCCCAAAAATATATCCCCACAGAAGAAAGAGAATATTTAGAACAAAGTCACAAAGAGATATTAATATTCACAACGAAAACTAAATAACTCATAACTGGAGATTTTTGGTATAAAGTTGTAAAGTTTCTTTCTGTAGTTATAGAAAGATATCAGGTTAAATGTGCAGGACCTGCCTTTCAAAATTCACCCTGTCATTCAGTTAAAATTGCCTTATCCACCACTATGCACTCATTTAATATTCATGCACCATTATTACTGGAAACTTAAGCTCCTATTGGACAACCAGTCCACTGGCAGGCTCATAATATCACATGCAGGGAGAAAACAAACTTCTATGTATTTTAAGTGCATCTACAATTGAGCAGATTACTTAGGAGCTAGACTGCTCTACTGAGTGTTATTTTAGCTGCCTTTATCAAGCATGTAAGAGAAAAAGACTTTTTTTGTTGGTGATTTCTTTTCCACACACCTACACACATAGGTAAGGAGTGGGAAAGCTTCACTTACACAGCTGAATCACCTAGAAAGCATTTCTGGGTAAAACAAGGAAGACCAGACTTGACAGCGCTGTCATTTCTAAAACTTGAAACACAAATCTTCATGCCTAGTACATGTCACAAAAATGGATATAGAATTCCATACTCTGTCCTCATATTCAAAGATCACTTTTAAAGTCAGAACCTTTGAAACACACTTGGGACCCCTTTCCTTTTGCATTCGGAGCCACAAGCACTGAAGAACACAATAGCAAACAAAAAGGCTTACAACTACAGTTCCTGCTGTTGGGATCCAAGGTGTAATGAGCAGCACAGCCACACCTAAATCCATTTGGGATGGCAAGACACAGGTGACCACAATGGCCATTATTCTGCACACAATCATTCAAGCCGTCCTGACGAGAAGAATGGAAGACCAATATATCCATCACAAAATCCAGATGGCCCTGAATAAGTGTCCTGTTCTTCCCACTTGTCTTGTCTGCTCTTTCTATGCTGTGAAGATTCCAGTCTGTCCAGTAGATGTAGTCACTGTACTGGGTTAATCCAAATGGATGAGGTAGATCATCTGCTATGATTTCTCGTTCTTGTCCTGCAAAAAAAAAGGATAATCAGCTAAAAGACAATTCCCATGGCATAAAATGAAGAGTGTGACTGGCATGCAGAAAAATCTTTTTCTTCTTTTTAAAATAAAACCTCACTTTCCAAATCAGCATCATGGGCTTCTTTATTAAGTAGTACCTGCTCAAAAGGTAACATAAGCAGTTGCATTCAAAAGCCCTACCTTGATACCCTCTTGCCTATAGAGTAATTTGAAATGCTGCCAGTGTATTGTAATCTAAATAAATACTACTTGATATGTCTCATGCTTATCAACCCAAATAGACACTGAAAAACATATCCAAGAATACTATCAGCTTCATTAATCACATAGGCCAATAAAAAAGCTCATTAATATGCATGAATGCAACAACAAATTTGGGATTCAAAGAGAAACTGCTAGGAGAAATTACGGTGTCTCACTCAAGAAAAAAATTTTTTTTGCAGTGCAATCTAACATACAGCTATCCCAGTTTACGAAACCTTTTGTTTGGCAGAATCCTCTATACTCCCACATTCAGTGGCTCAGTTAGCAACATTTACAACAGATTTAACACCTTCTAGAGCATGGTCTCTGACAGAGATGCATTACTGAAGTAGATAAAGTCTTATTGAAAACCACCCTTCTGAACATTTTAAAGCATAAACCTCTATGAATCTCTGCCATCAGATGAATATGTAGCTTTTAGCAGCACCATTCCTCCTGTCTCAAACATCCAATGCTAGACTCTACAGAATACCCCACTTTTCTTCCTCTGCCTCATTTTCCATTTCACTGAGACTTGAGAAAGAATAAAATAACCACAAACCAGAACACGAGGCCATTTCCTTATAAGCCACCAGGTCTAAATACAGAGGCAACCTCCCCATGTAACTTTTAGGCATCTAAACTCTCCACGTAAGGGGTATAGATAGCCTGCACGCTCTCAGTTACTTCTTAGAGCAATTCTGATCCATAGTGATGAATTCAGGAGACAGACTCTTTTGAAGGAAGCAGATAAGCTGTATAATTGAGGAAAAGCTCCCAACAGTGTGATTTTTCCCCCTGATGTTTATAATGTCCAAGATTAATCTGGAGCAGCATTCAGAGTGCTTTCCTCACCCCTTAACTGATGTGCCCAGTTGTTACAAGTTTACCTGAGTCTTTATAATCTGCTGACTACAAAGACATTGTATAACATGAAAGTGAATGGGCACAAGTCTATGGAGCCTGCTGGGATGCATCAGTTATATTGCTCAAATTTCATATTATTCAATTACTTTACTATGGCCAGTGCATATTTCTGTTCTGCCTGGTGTAATATAACATTAGATTACCCAGCATATTTGATGACTCAATCATGCTTGTGTCTAAGTCAGTCCAGTAGAGCCTTTGGTCCACATAATCAATAGTGAGGTCATTGGCACGCCCCACTTTGTCTACCAGAGTGATGCTGTTTGTCCCATCCATGTAGGCTCGAACAATCCTGGGTTTGCCTCCCCACTCAGTCCAGTACATGTATCTGCAATGAGAAGCGCAACAAAAACAGGGCATCAGCCAGGTATAGCTGCATGCTTTGCCTTTCTAAATTTCTTTGCAGCACTTGAAAAAAACACAAATAACCCACATGTTTATGTGCAGCATTACAATACTCATATTTTTACACAAAGGTAGAATAGTATTTTTGACAATTAATAATTTTTCATTGTAGCCCATAGGATTGTGGAAGGTTTAGTGCCTTTTCAAAGACTCTGAAGAAATGGTGCTGTGCCTAATAATTCCTTATGTACAAGAACACCCACACAAAGCTTTGAAAAACAACAGAGTTCCTTACCCTTTGGTGGGATCAAGAGCCAGCGACCTTGGGTTGTCCAAGTCCTTCCACACAAGGACCTGCCTATACTGCCCATCCAGGCGGGCAACTTCGATGCGATTGGTTCCAGTATCTGCCCAGTAGAGGTTCTTTCCCATCCAGTCCACAGCCATTCCCTCAGGATAATCTAGCCCAAACTCAATCACATGCTCAACAGAGCTCCCATTCATGAAAGCTCGGCTTATGGTCTGGAAAACAATGGTGTAAAATTATTACAGTCCTTATGGACACCCCAGTGAAATAAAAAGAAGTAATTATCATGAAGTTTGGTGTACAAAAAGAAATTAGAACAAAAAAACCCCAGTCATTGTTACTTTTTAAACAACTAATTTCTGTTGTCAAAAAATACAGAAATTCTCAGGAGAAAAACACATGAATTTTCAGAAAGCTAATGGTTTCTGATAGCCAGACCAAGACATCTGAAGAGGACATGATTTTCAGAAAGCAGTATGTAACTGCAGATTCTTTCTTGATCCCTCTCCCTCTCTTCTATTTGCACACAAGAAGCTGGTTTTTAAAAATTATTTCATTCCCTGTAATGTTTTAAGTCTCAGATACACATCTCAGTGGCATCTAAATTAAATTGTTTCTCATAATCAGTCACCTGGAGCACGTCTACATCAGAGGACATCTACTGATCCCATCTACATTTTAGTTATGCACACTCATCAAAATAAGTCATAGGGCACACATATAAATAAGTCACTCCTAACAGCACTGAAACAACCCCCAGGTAAAGAGTAAATCCAGGACCAAATACCCATCCTTGCTTATCAGCACTGAGCAATCAGTCTACATGCCTGCCAATATTTCAGCTATTGATTTCTTAATAATTTGATACATGGATGTGTAAGGGTCAGGGACATTTTACACTTTTAAAGGTTAATGTAAAACTCTGAAATCATGTTGTGTAGTTTTTGAAAATGTGTCTTCCTATAACCAGAGGCAGAGGTGGAGATCAGGGAAGTGGTGGGCGCTGAAGGAAAGGATGCCCACCACTCAGTGGCACCACTCAGTGGTAACTCACAGATCACTGTGAGATCTGAAGTTATAATACCTACCCCTAAGCAGCTAGATGTGGGGGACAAGGGGAATGACAGCCCAAAGATGCTGGAAGATACCTGGTTTGTATATGAAAATACAGTATGCTGGAAAATTTGGGAGGCAACAAACAAGTAAAATGTTTTGCACTCCTGCACAGAGTGAGACTGAGATCTACTCACTGATGCAGCAGAAGTGATCTGCTTTCCAGCACAAATGGTTAAGATGTCCATAACTCCTGCTCTCCATGTGCTTGTGTGAGATTTATTTAGTAACTGTGTCTACTGCACTAATTTATTACACTGGCAACTCCTCCTGAAGGAACGGCGTCCACACCACAAGCAGCACTGGTAATTCTGAAGCACAGCCCTCATTAATCCTCACAGATAGACTATGGAAACTGTCCAAGCCCTGCAGGCTCCAAAAGTGAGCTTTGCCGTGTGTGTTATGGCTTGGGCACACTGGCAAGGAAACTCTGATTGCTCTTGGAAAACCTATTAACAGTTAAAATAGAATAATTTCATTCCAGTGAAGTGAATCTGTCATTTTCTACCATATCCTTAGTTTACTTCAAAAGGCCAAGTAATGCTGATGAAAATAACAGCCCTCACTTTAGCACCCACCAGGATGTGTACCAAACATCACAGGAAATGTGTTCTGGGGAACACATTGAGATAGAACTGGGAGCAGGTGGGCCCTTAACACAGTATGGAGGAGACTGGACAAGTTCCTGGCTTTTTTTGTGCCAAGCTGAAGCCACAGACTAACAACAAACAATCCAAAGTTCACTTGTCAAATGTTAATACGGAGTACAATTGTCTTCCAAGTCAAAACTGGAAGAGGATAGAAAACTCAGGGGGTTGCTGAGCTCAATGTTTAAATTACTCTACTCTGACATAAAATTAGCTTTTCTACAGCAGATACGTATATGGATGCAACACATCCAGTATCCAAGATTTACACATTTGGTACAAGCAGACACCACTCTGGATTTTTATTTGAAGCAGGAAGATGCCTGTCACCCTACTGTGCATTCAGAAATGCAACTGTCTTCATCTCCAAGGGTCTCCTTGGATGCAATTCAATGACAACACTGGCAACTGCAGGACAGATCATGTAACAGAGACCTTTGTTAGATCAAAGTAACTGCTCTGTGGCTTTATATTCAAGGAATTCACACATCAGTAATACCTTCAAACTAACATCAGTCCAATAGATTCTGTTATCAGAGACATCAAAATCCAGAGCAGATGCTTCCTTGACTCCAGTAAGAGGAATAGCAACATCATTATTATTGGTTTCAAGGGAAATCCTATGAATTGCTGCTCTGCTTGTGAAAACTAAGAAGGCTTCAGGAATGATGCAAGTCTTCATGTCACTCAACAGCTCAAGGCCGATGGGACAGGCACACCTGGCCTCCTGGGGTGTAAAGAAACACAGATGGCTGCAGCCTCCATTGTTCTCTGCGCATGAATTAGTTCCTTTAAAAAATAAATAAACAAAACAACAAACCAGAACAGATATTAGTGCATTGAATTAGTTCATTTAAAAAAAAACCCCAAAAAAACCAACTAAACCAGAACACATATTAGTGTATTGTGAAGGTAAAAGGGAAAGGGGAGCACAGGAGGTTGAGCAAAAAGCCAGTATAATTTTCCAAAATAAGTTAACACTATGGGCTGTCAGCAGGGAATTCTAAGTGGATTCTTCCTGTCTACCCAGGATTACAAAGCTGGACCTATCCCTCCTATTATAGAAATACTATCTACAAACAGATCTTTCTTGTCTCCCCAAGGATTGAATTCCTTCACTGAAGACAGATAATTAATTAGCTACTTTTCACCAAGTACTCCATCTTTGTATCTCTTTGAAACCACCAGCTTTTACAAATGTTCAGTGATACAAAAGAGTGAGAAAAGAGCTGGATAATTGCAGTTCTTTCCCACCTGTTTAATTTAAAACTGAGAAGAGTCATTAGCAGAAGCAGCTCCAACAAGATCCCCACAATCTCACACTTACTTTTTTCATGTAATGGGGATGGAATGTGTAGGGGAAAGTAAGGACCAACACATAAATAAATGCCTCTCTCCATCTGCTGGAACCAAGGATTTAGGTATTTTAAGAATATTACCACACACACAAAAGAAATTCTCAAAGATCAGTCTCAACCAGGGTTCTTTTCACTTTCCCTATTTTAGGGAATTTTATTTCACATCGATGCCATTACTCCATTGTGACTTTTCTCACTAATTTTAACAGCTGACTAATGAATCTGTTTAGTGCTGTGCCCAAATTCCAGTGTTCCAGGTAGCTGGAAAATCTGTGGTGCACTGAAGCTAGGAGGTCCTGTGACACTTGCTGCACAGTGCCAGCAGAGGACCTAAAAACTGGCTGCACCTTTCAGAAATGTAATGGAAGGACATGGAAATCCAGCTGCTGACACTTTGCTAAGGACAAGTTTTAGTTGTTAAGTTCAGGTACAACTGAGATGTTAAGAGTTAATATATAAGTGCCAAATGCTTTTGGGCAGCGTTGTAATGGTGACTGTGCCTATACCACCCAACACTGAAAAGTATTCTGCCAACAACATGGGACTTTGCTCTGGAAGGGAAAAACAGCAGGAAACAAGAGCATTTCTGTGAGAATAATGATTCCTGTAGCATAGAGCAATAAAATCCTCATAAAAATTCAAAGAGTGCAGTGAAAGCTGTGGAAGATTTATGTCACTAAAAACTGGAAGCAACTTCTTTTGCAACACTGTATTTTCCCAACTTTAGAAATAATAGGTGCCATTTTCCTTTCAAACTCATCAGATCATAGTTATTCTCATTACGAGTGATCAACAGCTGCTTAATGAAAGGAAGGCCATAAGAAGACTCCTACAGACCCATGCTATGTTGCCTATCTTACCAAAAGCTTTGGTGACACTCGTTGCCTTAAGGCCCATTAAATCCGGCAGCTGATCGATAATGATGTCTCTGCTGGCCTTTATCTTGTGAACTCTCTCAATGCTTCGTCTCTGCCAATCAGTCCAGTAGATGTAGTCCCCCAGCAGTGTGAACCCAAATATATGTGGAAGCTTATCTTCTAAGAGGGTTTTTCTCATTGTTCCATCAACGTTTATGACCTGTGGGATGCCAAAAAAAAAAAAAAAAAAAAAAAAAGAAAAAAAAATCTTCTCTAATGTGGGTACAATTAAAATGGCAGTATCAGTTGTGTTTTGAACAGCTACTGCTATGCAAATACCTCTTGATATTCCCAGCATGTCTTTCCCATGATCTGTGACTGAGATTTTAAATAACTTCCTCTTTGCTATTATTTGGAAATTGTTTATTCAGACTCATATTAAATCTGTACCTTGTAGATGATTATGCTCCCTTCATCGTGCAGTGCTCCTATTTTCTTGCAAGTCAAGGATCTGACTTTTAAATTTCTAAGTGTTTGAGCAATAATTATTTTTATTACAAATATGTGTAACTCTATTGTAGTGTAATATTAAACCATGAAATGCCTAAATGCTGGCAGTGAAAATCACTTTTACCACAATTTTAATAGAGTTATAAGGTTCTGTTGATATACAATAAACAGCAGAAGAACCTAAAATTAATTTTTTAACACAACCAATTATCACATCATTCTAATACATTCATGCACACAGAGTAGATAGCCAAATAAATTTTAAAATGACATCTCCACTTTAAAACCTCACAGATTTGTGGAAACAGTATGCATTTTGATTTGATTTGCTATAAATGAAAGTAATTTCCCCAAGTTGAGCCTGTTTAGCCTATGACATTAACTGCTAAGTGGTCTCTCCCTGTGCTTATCCTGATCCACAAGCCTTTCATTGCATTTTCTATCCCCTGTCCTGCTGGGGAGTGGAGTGACAGAGCTGTTTGGGTGGGCACCTGGCACCCAGCCAAGGCCAAGGGACGTGCACTGGATTTTCCAGCTAGCACCAGCCAAACAGCAGAGGTGAGCAGTCAGCTACTGCTACAGCTGTACCCACCTATGGCATGCACAAAAATCATCCCTGTAACAGCAGTGAATTTCAACAGAGGCCACAATGTACACCTCTGGATTCCTTCCAAACAAAATGCCGCCTGCTGGAGACAGTTAAAAATAACACTGGCATTCCTGCAAACTAAGTTTCAAGGGAGCTTTGTATCTGCCCATCAACTTACGATTCTTCTACTACTTGATATAGTAGCAGAGACTGAAGATTAATATCTTTTTATTCTGTTAAGCTAAATAGAGTACATTAAAAAGAAAGAAAGAAAAAAAGGCTGTATCAGTGGTTAAAAGCCAAATGGTTCTGCAATTATGTCATTACATCATGTCCAGGCAAACCCCAAATGCTCACTTATTCAGAACACTATCAGTCCCACAGGCAATACTGCAGGTTCAAAAGTTCCTCACACATACTCAGGTGCTGGAGCCAAACTGGTGCCACACTAAGTAAACAGGACACCCCTTACAACAGTGCATCAGCAGGATGAGGATGAAGCTTCCACATTTCCATCAACTTTTACAGAAATGGACAGTACAAGTATAATTCAAATAGCAGAGCTGCTGACTAAAATGTGCAAGCGAAGATTGAATCCAACGATGCAAATGCATTTACTGAAACCCATGCACATCTGTGGATGTTGCAGACAACACCAAGCTGTTGAACTTCAGGAATCTCATGTGGTTCAACAAGGCCAGGTGCAAGATGCTGCACCTGGTTCGGGGCAAGCCCTGGTATTGATACGGGCTGGACTATGATGGTGTTGAAAGCAGCCCTGCTGCGTGCTGGTGTCAGCCATGTCTGCTCATGGCCTGGAAAGTCACTCATATCCTGGGCTGGATCCAAAGCAGCGTGGCCAGCAGTAGAGAGGTGATTCTCCCCTCTACTCTGCTCTGGGGAGGCCCCACCTGGAGTGCTGCATCCAGCTCTGGGGTCCCAGTACAAGACAGGCTGAGAGCCAGTTCAGAGGAGAGCCACAGAAATCATCAGGAGGCTGCAAGACTTCTGCTGTGAAGAAAGGCTGAGGGTGTTGGTGTTGCTCAGCCTTGGGATGAGAAGAGTGACCTTACTGGTGAGACCTTACTGCAGCACTCCCAAATTATACTCTGTTCAACATAGTGGGAAAGGAGGTCCAAAATGTGGAATCAGACAGCAATAAAACATTTAACAGCTTACACTTTGGCTAAGAAAATGATGGAATAAATGTTTGCTGTCTCCCTCTCCCAAACGTTCCTCCCCAATACTACAGGCAGAACACCTACAAGTCCAAGCAGGCTTCCTTTGGATGCAGAAAGGGCAGCTCTGACTTGGAAGATGTTTCTGGGCTGAGAGCAATCGAGTCCTCTAAGTAATAGCTGGTTCAAGGAAACAAGCAGGAAATGCTAACTCCCTCTGTGACATGATCCTACTTACATAGGAGCTAGGGCAAATCTTGAACAAGGAGGTGTCACTGCAGGTCAATACAGGTACATGAACACAGTCTTTACCTCAAATTTTGCTGCCACCCACCTTCCCAGAGATACAGCTCCATTCTAGCATATCAAATGAAACCACGAGGATTCAAAGAAAAAATCTACAAACAGGCTGCACAATATGACCAGAAGTACAACTCCTGTTGTTAAATCACCACTTCCCATTTCTTCAAAGGGTCTGGAACAATCCCATAAGACTTTTACCCTCTCCTTTCCAAATTCAAACATCTTCTCAACTCAACAGACCACTAAAAGTCTGTGGAAATAGCACACCATGTAAATATTTACCATGTTGTTCTTCTGCTGGTGATATTGGGACTGCAAGAACCTTTATAATGTACATGTACAACATGGAGGAAAGACAAGAAAAGATAATAAAATACCATATTAACTCATCTTTTAATATCTGACAACTAGGATCTGCTGCCTGCAGACAAAAGGGAAGACTTTAAAGCACAATCCTTATAATTTAGCAGAAATTGACTAGAATAGGCTTTATTCTACTCAGGGTTTTCTTTCCTTCTCTGTAAGTGATAAATGGATCTCAAAGGATAAATGAAACACTAAATGTGTTGTGCTTTACACATGAAACACTGAACAGCATCACACACTGAAAGTCCCTGATTAGTCTCAAGACTTCAATGACAAATGTCCTAATGAGGCCTTGCCAAGCTCAGCTAAAATCTGTTGTGGGCAAAGTGAAATCAACATCAAACGCCTTAATGAACTGAATTACACAAAAAACACAAGAAGGTGGTAAGGTGTGATTTTTTTTTAGATGCTGCTGCAATGTATGCAAAATGATTTTACAAATATTTCTAAATATAACACTCAAAAGCTCTTGGCTCTTTGAAGAAGATTAAAGTAAAACAATGCAATTAAATTCTACACATCAGCATGATTCATGTAGTCAAACTGTATTTCAGGTGCAGCTATGGAAAAAAACAGCTATTCAGCATAGATACAGCACACCTTTTGACAGAACAACAAAGAGACCTCTAAGACCTTACCCCTCTATTTCAGTCACTAAGATAAAACAAAATTTATTTGATTGCTAAAGACAAAGATGCAGTCAAATGGAAATCAATTCATGGGCTGAGCTAAATCACTACGTGAGCAAACACAGCAGGTTGGCAACAGTAAAATGACATGACTGGCATATTCAGGAGACTCATGTGGTGTGCTTTAGCTCTGTGAGTCTTGCAGATCTTGTAGAAAGCTGCACTTTTGCTGTGAGGGTGCCTGAGAACTGGAACAGGTTGCTCAAGGAGGTTGTGGAATCTCCACCATTGGAGCTATTCCAAAGTGATCTATCTGGTACCCACCTCCAGGAGAACCTGCCTGAGAAGGGCTTGGACCAGCTGAGCTACAGAGGTCCCTTCCACCCTCAACCCTTCCCTGAGTGGCTTTTAAGGATTTTCACCAGCAGCCTCTGGAATGGCACCTCAAGTGAACATACCCAGCCTTCTCTAGCTCAAGAAAGAACTTGTGAGACAGATTGGATAGGCAGCATGGAAAAGAAAACAGGAAAGTCAGCAGGGAAAGAAAAAGACAAAGAAAAATGAAACTACATAGAAAATTCCTATGGGTAAAGAAGCCTGCCCCAAAAAGAGAAAAGCGAAGCAGCTGTGAGCAGTCTATACCACAGTCTATATTCAGCTGAGTGTAAGCCATTCATTAATATTTCCAACAGCTGAAACACAGCCACCTTTCATCAATGCTCTGGGATAAAAGCAAACACCTTTTTTTTTTTTTTTTTTTTTTTAAATTTCTGAAGGGGCCTAATGTCAGGCATGTATTGGCAGATACTGGCAAGCCGAAAAGGGAATAACATTCAACTAAACAGTACCAGAACCCCTATAACAAAAAAGAAGAGATAGATGGACAACAGACATATCTGGTCATTTCCACAAAGATGGGCTGCTTGAGTGTCTTAGCAAGCTGTCGCCTCAAACACCTGAGTATACTCAAGAATTTGTAAAGCAGTTCCTCATCGTTGTCCATAGTTCTGTCCCCTTTGACAATACTTTGGCTACCTGGTAAAAGCTGCCTCATAAACAACACTCATGACTTCTATTGCCACTACATTTCATGGATTACTCCTACATGTACTATTCTGGCTCTTCTTTCAGACAAGTTTTGATGATGGCATACATCTATATCATTATTTTCTGAATTCTTACATTAGTTGCAGCTCCAAACTATCATCACCCCCCTAAATTCAGAGCAGACTCTGAACCAAGAGAACACAGAGAATGAATCCCTACAATACTGTGAGTGCAACACCCCAGTTTAACTGTGAATAACCATTTGTTGTTTGCAAATACACGTAGTGACCCATCACCACCCTTTTCTATCATATTTTTTTCCTTTCTTTAAGAGACATTTTTCACTTCTCACTGAAGAACATGTCATTTTACCTTGCTGAAGGCAAAGCATCTGAACACACTTCTCTATGGCTACACAGATGGGCCGTATTTTTACTCATAATACAAAATCCACTTTGAGATGCTCAGCAAAAAACATTCCAAAGAGGCTCACTGACTTAATGACTGTCAATACTCTTTTTTTTTTTTTAACAATCTTCCTTCAGAAGTACCTTTGCAGTCTCCTAGAGGAAAGCACAGCAGTGGTAGCAAACCATCC